GTTTGTAATGTTGCTATGAGTCATAGTTAACTCCATAACAAATAGTAACAACAGTCCTATTCTAGGCACAGACACATCCAAGAACCAAACATAGTCACTTCCTTGTTATTGTTGTTAGGTGCTGTGAAATTGAATACAACTCATAGTGACCCTGTGAACAACACATATGAATGTCCTCCTATCCTGTGTCATCTTCACCATCTCATACATTTGAGTCCACTGCCAACATCAATGCTTTTCAGTATTTTGAAGAGATCCTTGACAGCAGACTTGCCCAAAGTGATGTATCTCCTTATCTCCTGACTGCTGGCACCAAGGGTATTGATTGTGGATCCAAATAAGATTAAATCATTGACATTTATTCCTTTCTCCATCTATCATGATGTTAACCACTGGCCAAGGAGTAAAGACCTTTGTCTTCTTGATGTTAAGATGCAATCCATACTAAAGGCTGTAGTCTTTAATCTATAACAAGTGCTTCAGATCCCTCTTACTTTCAGCAAGCAAGGAATGTTGTATCAGCGGCATAATACAGTTCATTGATGAATCTTCCTCCGATCCTGATGCCACATTCTTCGTCAAGGAATCCAGCTTCATGAATTATTTGCTCAGCGTACAGATTGAATAGGTATCGAGAAAGGATACAACCCTGACACTTAATCCCTCCTGATTTTAACAAGAACAGCTTCTCGTTCTGAGTATAGATTTTATATGAGCACAGTTAACTGTTCTGGGATTCCCATTCTTCTCATTGTTGCCCACAATTTGTTGTGATTCACACAGTCAGATGCCTTTGCAGAGTCAATGAAACAGTGATGGGCATCCTTCTGGTATTCTCTGCTTTCAGCTAGGATCCATCTGACATCAGCAGTGATATCTCAAGTGACCCCTATCTCCATGGCTTCTTCTAAATCCATCTTGAACTTCTTGCAGTCCTCTGTCTAGACAGTTATGCATGATCTTCAACAATATTTTGCTTTTATGTAATAGTAATGATTTTTATTGTTGATTATCTTCGAGTCGAGCACAACTCATGTTGTTGTTGTTATGTGCCATTGAGTTGCCTGAGACTCATATAATCCCATGTACAACAGCTCTAAACCTTGCTCTATCCTGAGCCAACCTTATTGTCTCTGACATACCTAACCCATTGCCCTAGTCACTGAGTCAGTCCATCTCATTGAGGGTGTTCCTCTCTTGTGTTGTCCCTCCACCCTCCCAAGCATGGATGTCCCTCTCCAAGGAGTGGAACCTTCTTGCAATATGCTCAAAGTATGTCAGACAAAGTTTCACAATCCTTGCCTCTAAGAAGCAGCCTGGTTTCACCCTTTCTAGAACAAACCTGTTTGTTGTCTTAGTGTTCATAGTATATTCAATACTCTTCTCCAGCACCACAGCTCAAAGGCATCAATTCTTCATCTATCATCTCTAGTCATTTTCTATCTTTTTGATGCATAGCACATAATTACAAAGACCATGGCCTGGATCAAGCACACCTTAGTCTCCAGACTGACATTGTTGCTCTTCAGTACTCTGGAGTATTAATCTATAAACTCCAGCATCTATGGCAGATTACCATACTCCAGAGCTGCTCGTGCCATGATTGGAGGCAGCTGCTTGAAACCTGGAAAGTTTTTCCTTGAGTCTTAAACAATCTATCCTAAAGTGGCCTGACTGTTTATAAAAGGCGCAAACATTCTAATTTATAGACCTGCATTGTTCTGTATTTGCTGCAGCTGTAAAGCTTGTTGTTGTTGTCGTTATGTGCTGTCAAGTTGCCTGCGACTCATAGTGACCCTGTGTTTAACAGCCATAGCCCCTGCTCTGTCCTCTGCCAACCTCCCTGTCTCTGACACACCCACCCCAATTACTCCAGTCACTGAATCAATCCACCTCAGAGAGGGTCTTCTTCTCCTGCGCTGTACCTCCACTATCCCAAGCATGACTTGGGGTAAAGCAAGTAACTTATTTTTATTATTATTTTACTAATTTTAATGAAAATTTACAGATATTTTGGATTTCCATTCATTCATTGTCACACTTTTCTCCCTGCCCACCCCTCCCCCCAGTTTGCTCTTCTCTTTGAAGGGTAAAAGAAAAATTGCTTCATTGGTATACAGTCGGCCCGCCCTGAGTACATTCCACTATGCACCCTTCATTCTAGCCTCTTGTGATAACCATAATACCCTATCATTTATCACTTTTAAAATGTTCTCTCCCTCATCTGTTTCAATGCAGTATACATAATTTATCCAGTTTTTCTCAGTCTTACCCGAACCCTGATGTCAGTCCCATTCTACAACACTGCAGTATTTGTCCTTTTGTGACTGAGATATTTCACTCAGCATAATGTCCTCCATGGTTACCCATTTTGAATAATATTGCATGAGTTTCTTGTTTTTCAATGCAGCATAGTATTCCATTGTGTGAATATACCAGAGCTTCTCTATCCATTTGTTTGTTAATGGACACTTAGGTTGTTTCCAACCCCTTGCTATTGTGAACAAAGCTGCAATAAACATGGTTGTGCTGCTTGGATGTCAGTTATAGTCTCTTTGGGATATATTTCCAGTAGTGGAATTGCTGGGTCAAATGGTATCACTATATATTTGCAACTTTTTGAGAAAGCGCCACACCACTTTCCACAGTGGTTGCACCATTTTACACTCCTACCAACAGTGAATAAGGGTTCCAGTCTCTCCACAGCCTCGCCAGCATTTGTTACTTGCTGTTCTGTTCAATTTTGCTGTTCTTACTGGGCTGAGATGATATCTCATAGTTGTTTTGATTTGCATCTGTCTTAGAGCTAGGGATTTTGAACATTTCTTCATGTGCTTGTTGGCCATCTGAATGTCTTCTTTGGTGAAGTGTCTGTTCATATCCTGTGCCCATTTTTCAAGTGGATTATTTACCTTCATCTTGTTGTGGTGCTTAAGTATTTTATTAATTCTATATATAAGTCCCTTATCTGACATGTCATTACCAAATACTTTTTCCCAGTCTGTGGCTTCCCTTTTGACCCTGTTGGAGAAGTTTTTGGATGTTCATAGGGATTTGATTCTTAGAAGGTCCCATTCGTCTATTTTATCTTCTGGTTGTAGATTTTTCAGGATACTTGCAAGACTGTTTATGTTGTGGATTAGGACTACTAGAGTTCTTCTAAACTTTTCTCTAATGAAGTTTATAGTCCTTGGTTTTAGTCCTAGGTCCATGATCCATCTTGAGTTGGTTTTTGTGTACGGAGTGAGGTGTGGATCATGTTTGAGTTTTCCACAGGTGGTTTTCCAATTTTGCCAACACCATTTGATAAAAAGGCTGTCATTTCCCCACTTAACTGATTTTATCTTCTTGTAAAAAAATCAGTTGACCCTAGGTAGATGGGCTAATTTCCAGATTCTCAATTCTATTCCATTGTTCTATGTGTCTTGTCATTTTACCAGTACCACGGTGTCTTGACTACCACAGCAGTGGAGTAGGATTTGAAACCAGGGAGTAAGATGCCTTCTACTTTTTTTCTCTTTTGAAGGAGTGCTTTGCTTATTTGGAGCTTCTTTCCATTACAAATGAAATTGGAGATTGCCTTTTCCATCTTGTTGAAAAATGGGATTGGTATTTGTATTGGGAGTTTTACACTTTTTTAAAAAAAATCTGAGCATAGACATTCCATATGACTCAGGTACTTCACTGCTAGGAATATACCCCAAGGAAATTAGAATTGAGACACAAAAAGCATGTTCATAACAATTTACAGCAATGTTCATAGAAGCATTATTCACAATCACAAAAACATGGAAAAGCCCAAATCTCCAACCACATTTGAGTGGATTGAGAAATTGTGGTACGTTCACATGTTAGAATACTACACAGCACTCAGGAACAATGATTTTGAAAAATGTTATATAACTTGGGAAAGACTAGAGAACATTATGCTGAGAGAACTAACTCAGTCTCATAAGGACAAGTACTGTATAAAACCATTATTGTAAAAATCGAAAGATACTTAGTAAAACGTTTTTTTGGGATCCAAGAGGGGAATGGATGGGAGCAGTAGGATGAGGATGGGTAGGGGAAAAATCACAGGATCGCATAATCTGATGGGTGGAGGGAGGAGTAAAGGAAATTGGAAAGATCCAGTGGGGAACTGAAACAATGAGATATGGTAGACACAGTTCAATAGTCATTAATTTTATAAAACTCAATGTATGAGAATGATTGTATGAAACAATGTGATTAAAAAATAGTGTGAAAAAAAAAAAAAATAGTGTGAAACACAATTTATTCAAAATTTGTGAGCAAAGCAGTCAATGTTAAATTTTAAAAAGAAAGGAAAATGTTATGCCTTTTTCACAATGGGGGGAAAACCTTGAAGCACATGTTATCCAGATAAAAAACGAAAATAGTTTAATGACTGTGTTGTAAAACTATAAACTCTACCACTATAAAAAGCAAAAAAATGTGCGCACACACACACAAAAGATAAACATTTTTCTATTTTTAAGATTTCAAGGAATATTTTTGGTTTAAAACTTCAGATTGAAAGATTTTCTGTTAATCATTTTAGAATTTCCTCTAACCTCATAGGCTCCAGAAAATCTGAATTCCATAAGAATTTCTAATTCTGTTCTCCATTTAAGTGACTTTTCAAATTCTAAGATACTTAACATGTAAACAGTATTCGTTCAGCTCATGTTAATAACTCTAGCAACTTTTCCTGTAAAAATTATTGTATCATATTTCTCAAAATGATACCACTAAAAAAGTTCAATTTCCCTTAATTATATCTATGTTTATTTTTTTATCACACAATTACTCTGCATTTTTTTCTTTGGTAGACATAAATTATACTTTAGTATTTTTATGATGTATGTTGCGGTAATAACTACATCCAGGAACCTAAAGTGATGATCCTGTGTTATGAATCAGGTTTTTTGGAGGGGGATTTATTTATTTATAATTCATTCATTGTTGCACATAAGAATCATTTTTCTGTCTCCTTTCAGGTAAATGGTGATATTCCACCTCGGTTAAAAAAAAGTGCTCATGAAATCATCCTGGACTTTATCCGATCAAGACCTCCTCTAAACCCAGTATGTAATTTGATACATTTCTCTTGATTTGGGCTGCATAATGACTCAGTCTTGCTTCTGTAGTAAGAAAATCAGTGTTCAGAAGGCTTGGATAACCTTGCCCAGATACAGGGGGTACTGAACTGCAGACCTGGTGTGGAGATAACTGGTCCCTTTGGCACCTTGCTCTTCCTTCCTACAGGACCTTTCTTGTCCATGTTGCCTCAGTGATCTCTCTAAAAGGGAAAAAAAATCTCTTTCTTGTGAAAAGGATTTTACAAAGGGATCATAAGACTGGACTTCCTGGTCAGGTCTGATGGGGACTGGTGGAACTCCCATGACACTCTTCCAGCCTGGAACTGATTTCACTTTTGGAAATCACCTTTCAGCCAAAGAGTAGACAAGTTTATAAAGTGAACAGTAAAACTCATAAGGATTGTGCTCTCAGAATAATCAACTATACACTCACAAGGAGAGCATTTCCCCTAAACAAAGTTCAGAACACAAGAGAATACAGACAGGGAAGATGAACAAATGGAAACAGGAAATTCAGGGAGGACATGAGGGAAATTATCTTCTATTGAGATTGCAACTAATGTCATGAAACAAAATGGGTACAATTATTGAATAAGAAATTAATTTGCTCAGTAAATATTCAAACCACAGCACAGTGCAGGTTGATTTTTTTTAAAGCCATTGTACTCATTAACTAAGCTTTATGAGAACAGAAACTAGAGTTTCCTATCCATTTGATACGCATAGGTTTAGAGGTTTTGATGGGCATTGGAAATTATGTTAGAGGGAAGAGAAGGAAACACAAACCAGCATTCAAGCTAACTGAGAATATTTTTACTCTGGTTTCTGGAACGAATACTATTAACAGTCAAAGGTAATTGTTATAAAGCAGATGTACAGCAGGGTGTGTTTACTATGAAATAGAATCAATATGTAGCATTATCAAATTAACTGAAAGGGTGTTCCATCTTGGGACACCTGTTACTGAATTCTCCCATAGGATAGGAAGTATTTGATTTGATTTTGTGCTGTAAATAAGTTGTTTGAGTTAAATATGCTAAGGTAACACTGTAAAGATGAAGCAGTCTCCTCCTGTGAAGGACTCATAACTGACAGTTCACAGAAAGTCACTCAGGAGGAGCTTTCCCTTCTTTCTCCCACGGAACATTTGCTGAATCCATACTGCTTGCCTTACAGTAGTATATGTTCTTATTGTTGTGTACCATCAAGTCAGAACTAGCCTATAGCTGACCCTCTGGTGGGTTTTCAGAGGTAGTTAATTGCATGGGAGGAGATTGCCCATCTTTCTCCCATGGAGCAGCTGGTGGCCTTGAACCATGTGCTTTTGGGATTTCAGTGCAGCTTTTTGCTACTAGGCCACCAGAGCTCTCTAGTAGTAGTATGTTGTTGTTATGTGCCGTTGTTGTTGTTATGTGTTGTTGAGTCATTTGCAACTCATAGCGACCCTGTTTACAATAGCCCTGAAACCTGCTCTATCTTTTCTTTTTTTTTTTTTAATTGTGAAAAACATGTATGGGTATACAAGGAGGTGAGGGTTGGGAGGAGAAGGGTGAGGATGGGCAGGGATGAAATTGCAGGGCTGCACAATTTGGTAGTGGGCAGAGTAAGTGAAGGAAAGAAAAAAGATCCTGTGGGGACCAGACGATATAGGGCAATGGTAAGCATAGTCCAATGGTGATTAAACAAACTGTCTTATTCACTTGTGGGTTTCTCATTTGGGAATGAGTCACAGACTCTCTGACTTCTTCATGCTGAACCAAGGTGTTGATGTGAAGGGGGAAAGGGAGCACACTTTATCACCTTACTGGTGGTCCTGGGTTAAAGCTGCTTGCCTTCTTGTTCTGTTAGAAGATACTTTCCTGATACTTGCTCCCCTCGGTACTGCAAAGTGTTTTCCCAGGTGGGTCCAGTGGGGATGGCTGACTGAACCATGAGGCTCCATCTGCCTTTGCTTCCTTAGCTGGCAGTTGTATATCCTTTTTGTCTCTGGAACTGGGTTCAGGGTCAGGTCTGGAGTAAAACTCAGTGTTAAGGTTACTTGTAGGAAAGGGAGCAATCCTAGAGAGAACAAACTTGTAAGTTACAAATAGAAGGGCTTTGGAGGTGTTACTTACGGATGTACTGGGGGAGAAGGTGGAGGAAGTAGCCTAGATAAAATTCTCTATATACCCTAGGCAGTTTTTTTCTATCCAGGGGTTGGATGGCACAACCCGAGGGCCGAGGGCTGAGGAGCTCACCCCCAGGACCAAATGGTTCACCTCAAGGGCCGAACGGCTCACCCCGAGGGCCAGGTGGCTCCCCCCGCAGAGCCAGATGGCTGCGCCTCCCCCTTTACAAATGGAGAAGGTACCTGAGAGTGGTGAACAGACCCTCCCCAGGTCCAAAGAGTTCTTTGCAGAGGCAGTCAAGAGATAAAATATTTGGGGCATTGAGGATATCTGCCGTCTTGGACATACTTTCACTGTTGAGTGTCCTCCAGTTGTAAACAGCCAATAACAACTCCTATCAATCCATTGTATTGGTGATCCTCTTCTCAGGCCTGTCCAAGGAAATCTCAACTGACAAGAGAGATGCTGTCCCTTATGGAGACATTCACCTCTCACCATGGTGTTGCTGCTGCCACTGCAGCCACCCCACCCCGCAAACCCCCTCCCACACTGGGGGTCCAGGGCCTGCAGGCTGTGTGGGGGTTCCACCACAACAGCCATGGGACCTGTGGTCCCCAGCAGCCCCAATGATGTTGCAGCAGCACTAACTCAGCAGCAGGCAGAGGGAGGAAGCCGCTGCCATCTTGGTCCCAAGAATTCTCCCCAGAATAGGTTTATTCTGTGGCTGTGTGGAGGCTCTGCCACATGGGGTGGGGGGCAGCTGTGCCCGCCATCAGCTCCAGGTGAGGGGATCCCTGGGGTCCAACTGTGGGAGCCCCACAGAGCCATGACTGAGGCATGGGCTTGGCAGTAGGGGGCTGGGAGCCACGGGACTCACTCATTCTTCCCTGGGAATCCTTGATCTCCTGATGTTGAGCCTCGAAAACCAGCAATTAACTGTTTAACTGTTAAACTATCAATAAACAGAGGACTGTAGAAGGCCATGGTGGCCTGCCTCTATGTGGCCTGCCGTTCAAGCAGCTTCCTAGCTTGTTGCTGCAGTGGCCATCTTTTCTCCCCCCATCTCTGACCAGGAGGCTTTTGTGTGAATAGAGGAGGAGAACACTACCTCCTGAAGTCAAAGGGCATTGTGCTGTTGTGCCACAATTTCGAGTCCCCCAAAGGATCCCAGGGAGTTGAAATTGATGCAAGAACATGAGGGATTTTATTACCAGCTTAAGCAGGGACTGTACACAGACCCGGACTCAGTGGCAGCGTGGCAGAGTCCCCAGTGTTTTGGGACAAGGGTTTTTATTGGTGTTGGGAGTGGCAAAGACTGAGTGAGGGCCAGGGAGATACAAGGGGATTGGGGAAATTGTGAGGTAAGATGGAGGGGGTGCGTAGCGATTGGCTAATTTGAAAATAAGCGGACTCATTAGCAAGGGTGTGAGTATTTGGCATACACTGATTGGAGTAAGGTTCATACTGGAGGAGTTAGAGTCACTTCTTTGTTGCTGAGGTCCTTTCAGGAAGTGAACTTGAGAAAAACTAGGACAGAGGACTTAAGATGGCGGCCAGACCAGAGAGATAGATATATAACAAATCTTGACTCTTATAGTGCCACCGCTGCTGTCACCGCAGGAATGGAGTGCTGCAGGCCAGGCGGGCCGGGCACCACATGGGTTGGAGCCTGCAGCCTCCAAAACCTGTTCTATCTTGTGCCAACTTTACAGTCTCTGACACACCTACCCTCATTATTCCAGTCACTGAATCGATCCATCTCATCGATGGTCTTCCTCTCTTTCTCTATCCCTCCACCCTTCCAAGCATGACATCCCTCTCCAAGGAATGGTCCCTCCTTACAGTATGCTCAAAGTATGTCATAAGAAGCCTCAGAATCCTTGCCTCCAAGGAGCAGCCTGGTTTCTCCCTCTCTAGGATGAACCTATTTGTACTCCTGGAAGTCCATGGTCTATTCAACACTCTTCTCCAGCAGTAGTATGTAGAGAACCTTTTTATAACTTCAGCAAAATTGCTCACAATTAGTTGAGCATGTATCCTTAAATAATGATAATGCAGCAGTCTCCCTTTTGCTTTAGGAATCTTGATATTTAATGACATGAAAAATCATCTTTAAGGGCATTATCAAGTAACATTTTCATCAATGATACATATTTTAGAAAGACACTGTATGAGAGGAATTCAGTAAAAATAAATAAATAAATGAATGAAAAACAGTGACGTATCTTTTAGACATGACTTTTTCTTTTCAAGGCCTCAGCCAGAAAATTGAAACCAACCCCACCACGTCCACGGAGCCTCCATGAAAAAATATTGGAAGAAATCAAAGCAGAAAGAAAGTTGCGCCCCATCTCACCAGAGGAGGTTATACGTAGTCGTTTAGGTGAGTCCTCTGCTTGTTGCATTCTCCTTTTGAGCCATTAATTTGCAAAATGGTATTTATGCCAATAGCTCACTGAGAGTATTGGTGCAAAGGCTGTATACTCCAATGTTATTTGTTAGTCTATTCTTTCATTTTATCTTTCTTCCTCTCCAGTTCTAACTTTGTCCCCATTTTCTTTTTATCTCACAGACACATACACATATACACACTCACATGTAATGTTTCTACTGGAAATTGAACATTTACAGACTGTTGTTAAGTGCTGTCCAGTCACCTGTGACCAATAGTGACTCATGTCTCTGAAACACCTACCCTCATTACCCCAGTCACTTAGTCAATCCTTCTTATCCAGGATCTTCCTCTTTTACGCTGTCCCTCCACCCTACCAAGCATAATGCCCCTCTCTAAGAACTGGTCTCTCCTGCAAATATGCCCAAAGTATGTGAGATATAGCTTCAAAATCATTGCTTCTGAGGAACAACAGCCTTATTTCACCCTCTCCAGGATGGACCTGTTTGTTCTCTTAGTGGTCCATGGTATGTATATTCAGTACTCTTCTCCAGCACCACAACTCAAAGGCATCAGTTCTTCTTCTGTCATCCTTGGTCATTGTCCAGCTGTCTGATGCATAGCAAGTAATTGAGAATACCATGGCCTGGATCAGGTACACCTTAGTCTCTAGACTGACTTTGTTTCTTCTCAGTACACTGGAGAGATGATTTCCTGATTGCTGGTGCCAGAAGTGTTGATTGTAGAGCTGTAATTGTTAAAAACCTCAATCTCTTCTTCTCTCATGGTGCTGCCAGTTGCCCCAGTGGTGAGAATCTTTGTTGTCTTGATGTTGAACTTCAATCCATATTTTAGGCTGCAGTCCTTGACCTCCTACAGCAAAGACCTCAGGTCCACCTCAGTTTTCAGCAAGCAAGGTTGTGTCATCTGTATAACACAGGTTGTTGATGAGTCTTTCTCCAGTCCTGATGCCACATTTCTCGTCATAAACCCCAGCCTCCTGAATGGTCTTCTCTGCATATAGACTGAAAAGATATGGAGATAGGACGCAGCCCTGACACACTCCTTTCCTGATTTTGTACCGTGTAGTGTTTCCCTGCTGTTCTGAGGACTGCTTCCTGGTCTGAGTATAGATTTTTGCATGAGTACTATCAGGTGTTCTTGGATTCCCATTATCCTCAGGGTCAGCCATAATTTGTTGTGATCCACACAGTCAAATACCTTTGCATAGTCAATGAAACACATACAGACATTCCTCTGCTACTCTCTACTTGCTGCTAAGATCCTTCTGACATTGGCAATAATGTCTCTAATGCCCTGACCTCTTCTGTTGCAGACCGAGGGTCCTAAAGAATGGAAAAATTTTATAATTATTAATAAAGAGACAAACAGCCAGGAATGAGATAGAGCAAAGAGCATAAAACAGGGGGCCAGCAGTTCTCGACTGAAGACCCCAAGCCAAGCTTCTCTGTATCTTTATTGAAAATTACCAGGAAGTAAATCACAAAGAGAATTCAATGCAAATGAAGCCAAGCTCTTTCTATAGAAAACCTTCTGCTTGACTCAGGAAGGAGGGGTTCACAAATGCAAGAATTTGGTTTATCCGTAACTATTAAGCGTGGAAACTACAGAACAGTGTCATTGATTTCACATGCAAGCAAGATTCTACTGAAGATTATCCAAAAACAATTAGAACAGCACATCAGCAGAGAACTGCCAGAAGTCCAGGCTGGGTTTAGAAGGGGTTGTGGTACTAGGGATATTGTTGCTGATGTTAGATGGATCTTGGTTGAAAGCAGTGAATACCAGAAGAATGTCTATCTGTGTTTCATTGATTATGCAAAGGCATTTGACTGTGTGGACCATAACAAACTGTGGCTGACTCTGAGAAGAATGGGAATCCCAGAACATTTTTTTTTCGTTCTCTATAATTATATTTTATTAATTTTCATAAACATTTACAGAGATTTTGGGTTTCCATTCATTCATTGTTGTACCCCAGAACATTTAATTGTGCTAATGCGAAACCTGTACTTGGACCAAGAGGCAGTAGTCAGAACAGAGCAGGGTAACACTGCATGGTTCAGAATTGGGAAGGGTGTACGCCAGGGATGCATCCTGTCTCCATACGTTTTCAACATGTATGCAGAGCAGATTATCCGAGAGGCTGGGCTCTATGAGGAGAATTGTGGCATCAGGATTGGTGGAAGATCTATTAACAATCTGCATTATGCAGATGACACAACCCTGCTTGCTGACACTGAGGAGGACCTCATGCACTTGCTGCAAAGGGTCAAGGACTGCAGCCTTCAGTATTGACTGAGGCTCAATGTCAAGAAGACAAAGATTCTCGCCACTGGACCAATTGGCAGCATCAGGATGGATGGCGAAGAGATTGAGATTGTTCACAGCTTCAGTTTGCCCGGCTCCACAGTCAACACTCTTGGCACCAGCAGTCAGGAAATCAAAAAGCGTATCGTGATGGGAAAGTCTGCTGTTAGGGACCTCTCTAAAGTACTTAGGAGCAACAGTGTCTCTCTGGAGTCTAAGGTGCGCCTGATATAGGCCATGGTATTTGCAATCGCTTGTTATGCATTAGAGAGTTGGACAATGACTAGGGAGGACAGAAGGAGAGTGGATGCTTTTGAATTCTTCTCTTTGCTTTGGCTTCTCTCCTCTCTAGTGCAATATTCATAGTCTCTTCTGACATCCGTTTTGGTCTTTCCTTCTTCCTCCAAAGTTATAATGACTTTTTGCATTTTTTTTAAATTTTTTTACCTCTTTCTTTTTTTTCCTTTTACATTCTTCTTGGGTGATATTCTAGATATCCTCCCACAACTCATCTGGACTTCATTCATTAGTTTTCAAGGCCTCAAACCTGTTCCTGAGTTGGTGTTTAAGTTCAGGTTAGATAGACTCAAGATAAAATTTTTATTCCTGTGGATTTGATTTGACCTTCTTCAGCTTTAATTTGAACTTGAATATGAGTAGTTAATGGTCTGTTCCACAATCAGCAACTGGCCTCATTTTCACTGTTGATACTGAATTTCTCCAACAATTCCTTCCACAGATGTAATGGATCTGATTCCTATGCATACCGTTAGAGGAAATCCATGTGTATAGCCTGCGTTTATGTTTCTTATAAAAGGTATTTGCTTGCTTGCAAATTTTAAGTTATATAAGTTATCATTAAGAACCAAGAGAGCTGTAGGACTTGTTATTGTAGAAATTGTTTCTCTTATCCCTATGATTGTCTCTACTTCTGCTGTAGCGTCAACACAAGAAGTCCACATGGCTAAGTTTTTAATTGGGTTAGTGCATATTGTAACAAAAAATTTAAAGCAAAAGAATGTATATTCAATCAATTATGGCCTAAAAGCAGCAGGTCCTATCCATAGCCTCCCGTCCCATACAAGTCCGTTATCAAAGACTGCAAATGGCCGATAAAGAAAATCCTTGGTGATACAAGCTAATAAACCGGGCAGCCAGAGATGGGTAAGAGACACCGGCACCTGTTTCAAGCTAAGACAGGTGCCCCACCATAGTTGCTGGGGTGTCCAACCTAAGACAGGCGCTGGTTTCATACCTGGTCAAACAGGAGAGCACCAAAGGTAATCCTGTTGCACTTTTGTAGTCTTCAAATAATTATTTAAACAGGGAGGATCTGCTGGGAGCCGAGCCATTTTGTTCTACCTAGCTGAAGCCATTTTGTAATTCTCTAAGGACATGCCTGGACATGTTGCCCCACCCTGGGAGGACTGAGAAAGGCCCAACCTTACTTCTCCTTTCACACCCCCCCATTGTGTTTCAGTTTACCCCACCCTGGGAAGACAGGTTTTGGCTTACTGGGAACGCCCTGCTAAGTAATCCTACTCCTTTCCACTCCCCTCATTCGTGCTCCTATATAATCTCTGTATGATTTCAATAAAGTTGAGGCTTGATAAAAAAAAAAGGTATTTGCTATGAATAAATTATTCATTACATAGAATTCTATCATCATCCTCATTTCTGCCTCCAAGTCCATGTTTTCTGACTCCTAATCCTTCTTCCTGGTTTCCAACTTTTGCATTCCAGTCACCCGTTATTATTAATGCACCTTGGTTGCATGTTTGATTGACTTCTGACTGCAAAAGTTGGTAGAAATCATCTATTTCCTCCTCTTGACTCTGGTTATTGGTGCATAAATTTGAATGATAGTGGTATTAACAAGTTTTCCTTGTATGTGTATGGATATTATCCTGTCACTCACAACATTGTATTTCAAGATGCTTCTAGAAATGGCCTTTTTAACTAAGAAAGTGACCATCTCTGATGTAGTAGATCATATGATCATCTAATTAAAAATGTCCCATGTCAATCCATCTTATTTCACCAACATCTAATGTCAATAATTATGCATTTATTTTTTTCTTAACAATGTCCAGTTTTTCTACATTCATTCCACATTCCAGTAATTTGTTTCTGCTTACAACTGTTCCTCCTCCTTTGAGTTTCCAAATTTGAGGGCTCAGCCTCAGTTTCCTTATCTGTTATTTCACTCTACAGGTGCTCTATTTTTCATAGGGTTTTGAAGTCCTGTTATATTTCAGAAGTGGATGGCCAGTCCTTCCTAATCTCTCTTAATTTCGATGCTTAGCTTCCAAACAATATCTGACAGACAAGCATTTTACTGAAAGGAGCAGATGAAAGGCATTTTCGCCCAGAGATAACCAATATATTCCGTGCCATCCCCACCCCTGGCATGTGTGTCTTCTCTCTTTCCTTTCCCTGCTACATCAGGCTGACAGCTGGTATCCAGAGTATTGACTATAGAACCAAGCAAGATGACAATTTTAGTCTTTTCTCTGTGTATCATTCATTATGTTGCCTATTGGTCCAGTGGTAAGGATTTGTGTTTACTTTATGTTGAGATGTAATCCATATTGAAGGCTACAGTCCTTGGCCTCCTTCAGAAGATTTCGTCTTCTTCAGGTCTTCTTCACTTTCAGCAA